GCGAGCGCACGCGCGCTACAGTGGAAATCTCTCCAAAAAAAAAAAAAAATATATATATATATACCAAATGTCCACACTGTATAACTGAAACTGATGGGCTAAAGGATGTACGAACACAAGAGGTGGATGTGAATGCCAGATGTGGTATGTGTGGAGGAGTGGGGCCTGCGGAAGAACATTTGGAGGAAGGATATGAAGACAGCATTGTTGAGACAGGAAGGTAGTGTTGTTATATTTTGATCAACCCAACCGGGGAGAAATGTTCATATATTGAAATGATCACCTTGTAAGCTAAATAATGTGATTGAATGTATTAAAAAATGTAAAATAAAAAATCAAAAATAAAGATTCTAAAAATTACAAGAGAGGAACAGCAAATTACTTATAAAATTTATTCTACTAGGCTAACATCAGCCCTCTCAACAGAAAGAATACAAGCAAAGGAAGAATGGGAGGACAAATTCAACACATTAAAAGAAAAACAGTATCAACCAAGAATATTATATCCAGCAAGATTATCTTTCATATGGGAAGAACAAATAAAATCTCAGATAAATAAAAACTGAAAGAATTCACCAACAATTAAGGAGAGACAAAAAGAAATAAGAAATTTAAAAACAACAAAGAAGATGGCTAATGAAATGGCAGGAATAAGTCTTCGAATATTGATAACAACATTGAATTTTAATAGGTTAAATTTTCCAGTGAAAAGACACAGACTGGCTGAATGGATAACATTCAAGATCCCTCTATATGCTGCTTTCAAGAAACACAACTTACTGATAAAGATATACATAGACTGAGAATGAAGGGCTGGAAAAAGAGAATATCCCATGCAAATCAAAACCAAAAACAGGCTGGAGTCACAATACTGTAGCAGACAAAATAGACTTCAAGACAAAAGCTGCAAGAAGAGACAAAGAAGCACACTACATAATACTAAAAGAGCTAGTTCGCCAACAAGATATAACACTTGTAAATATCTATACACCAAATACTGGATCACCTAAATACATGAAAGAGAAACTGCTTGTTATAAAGGGAGAGGTAGACTGCAACACAATAATTGTTGGGGATCTCAACACCCCACTGTCTCTCCTCTGGACAGATCATCTAGATAAAAAATAAACAAAGAGATACATGCTCTAAATGATACCATAAATCAAATGGACTTGACACCTATAAAACATTTCACCTAACAAACAAAAAATACAAATTTTTCTCATCCCTACATGGGATGTTTCCAAAGATCAACCACATAAGACACAAAACAAGCCTTTCAAATATAAATGTATAGAAACTATATCCAGTTTCTTTTCTGAACACAATTGGAATCAAACACAAAATCAACTAATGAAAGAATCCCCAGAAATCTATAAACGTATGGAATCTAAACAATCTATTCCTGGATGACTTCACAATAGCTGAAGATATTTAGACTTAGAGCCAGAGATTCATTCAAACCAATGGTAACAGACAAACAAGTTTTTATAACCTATGGGGCACAGGAAAAGCAGTCATACAAGGGAAGTTCATAGCAATTAGTGCCCACAAGAAAAAAGTGGAAAGGGGGCAAGTAGACAAACTAATGACACATATCAAGAAGCTGGAAAAGCAATAAGAAAATAACTAAAAAAAAAAATCCTGGAGAAAAGAAATAAAAATTTGATCTAAAATAAATTATCTTGTTGTTTTTTGTGGCTGAGTAGTATTTCATTGAGTATATGTGCCACGCTTTTTCAATCCATTCCTCTGTTCGTGGACATTTGGGTTGGTTCTATGTCTTAGCAATTGTGAATAATGCTGCAATAAACATCTACATGCAAGTACTTTTCCAACCAAAGATTCTTCTGTCCTTTGAGTAGATAACCAGGAGTGGGATCATATGGTAGTTCTATTTGTAGATCTTTGAGGAATCTCCAAATTTTTCTCCACAGTGGCTGGACCAATTTATATCCCCACCAGCAGTGTAGGAGAGTTCCCCTTTCACCACACCCCCACCATCACTTGCCATTTTTTTTTTTTTTAATCTTAGTCATTCTGACTAGGGTTAGATGGTATCTCATTGTGGTTTTGATCTGCATCTCCCTTATAGTGAGAGATGTTGAGCATTTTTTCATATTCCTTTTGGTTATTTATATGTCTTCCTTAGACAGTGTTTTTGTTTTTGTTTTTTTTCTACTCATTCTCCCATCTTTTTTCAGGAAAGCTGCTTGAATTCCCCATGTATTCTGGTCATCAGTCCCTTATCTGAAGCATAGTTTACAAAAATATTTCCCCATTCTGAGAGCTGTCAAGTCACACTAATTACTGTGTCTTTTGCCATGCAGAAACTTCTTAATCTGATGTAATCTCACGTGTCTATTTTAGGGATTATTAACTGTACTTTGAGGGTCTTATTTAAGAAGTCTTTGCCTACCCCAGTATCTCCCAGATTTTCCCCAGTGTTTTCCAGTAGTAGCAGTATGAGGTCTTAGGTTTAGATCTTTGATCCACTTTGAGTTTATGCTTGAAACTGAATGACTATGGAAACATAGAATTCCATGGGTCCACCCATCTGTTTCTGTGCCAATACCATGGTAATTTGATTACCACAGCTTTGTAGTATACATATGATACAGAAATCCCACTCCTTGGTATTTATCTAAAGGACAGAATTCTTAATTGGAAAGCTGCTTGCTCATCAATGTTTATTGCAGCATTATTCACAATTGCTAAGACATGGAACCAGCCCAAATTCACATGAACAGATGAATGGACTGAAAAAGTGTGGCATGTATACTCTATGGAATACTACTCACCCATAAAAAAACAACAAAATCCTGGCTTTTGACAAAAAGTGGATGAATATGGAAGATTTACTGCTGAGTGAAGTAAGCCAGGCTATGAAGCAGAGACATTGTATATCTCCACTTAATAGATACAACAAGTATCCTACTCTATGGCTAAAACTGAATGACTAAAGGATATAGAAACATAGTTAATGGTTGTAAATACCAGATACAGTGTAGCAAGAAGGTAGGTGAAGGAGTAGAATCTGAGGAAAGACATTAAGGAGGAAAACAAAGAGGTAAGACATTTATGGTACAAAGAAATGGGTTATTATCTGTTGAAGATAACATGTATAGTATTTCCTACTGGACTGGTGAGAAATAAATTCATGTTGGAATATTTAGTTGGAGAAAGGAACAAGATAAATCAAATCAGCAATGAAATAGGAGATATAATAACAGACATAACAGAAGTTCAAAAGATCGTGAGAGAATACTCCAGCAATTGTATGCCAATAAGCAAGAAAGCCTAGATGAGATGGACACATTTCTAGACACACATAAATTACAAAGGTTGTATCAGGAAGAAATGGAAAGCCTGAATAAACCAATAACTAGTAATAAGATTGAATCAGTAAGAAATAGTCTTCCAACAAAAAAAGGCACAGATCTCAATGGCTTCACTTCCAAATTCTATGAAACATTTTTTAGAGATATTTGCTAATATAATAAGAGGACATGTGTGCTGACCAGAGAGACAGAGAGACAAAAAGTGCAAAATCAATGGGGAGATGGCCACACCACAGTCTGTTTTCTTCCATTCTCCTCTTGGGATTTTGGATAATATATATACATATACACATGCTCCTGGTATGTGTCAAGCTGTCCTGTCCAGGACTCATACTGCGGTCACCCATGTGGGAGACCAGTGCCTTAACCACTATGCCACTTGCTAGCCTCTCTACAAAACTTTTAAAGAAGTAACTCTGATTTTCTTCAAACTGTTTGTAAAGATCCAAAAGGAAGGAACTCTCCCAAATTCATTCTATGAAGCCTACATAATCCTGATCCCTGAAACAAACAAGGACATAGCAAAGAGAGAGAAAGAGAGAGAGAGAAAGAAAAAAAGAAAGAAAGAAAAAGAAAAAATACAAAACAATCTCCCTGATGAATACAGATGCAGAAATTCCCAATATAATAAAAGCCATAAATGACAAACCCATTGTCAACATCTTACTGAATGTGGAAAGGCTGAAAGCTTTTCCACCAAAAACTGGAACAAGACCATTTATTTGCCCACTCCCTGCATTCCTTTTCAATATAGCACTGGAAGTCCTAACCAATGCAATTAGACAACAGAGTAAAATAAAAGGCATTCACAAAGAAGTAAAATTATCTTGTTTTGCAGACAAAATTATTATATACACAGAAAATCCTGAAGGATTTAAAAAAAAACTCCTGGATAAATGAATACAGTGTCGATGGAAAAATATAACCAACTGTAAAATTAATAATTAATAATTAATGCAGTTTATTTCCAAGCCAACTGTGAGTGACCTAGGCCTGGAGAAGAGACATACATGCCTTTTCTCGGGGTGATCATGTACAGAGGTTCCTTTTATTTGCTTTTGAGATTGACACACAACATTTAATTAAAAGATTTCCCATTGGTCTGGCCCAAAAAGGCGGGACATGTAGAAGGGAGGGGGGCTTGTAGGTTATAGGTGGGTTCCACAAATTCTTAGGTCTGTGATTGGAAGGGAAGATCCCTGTCTTAGTTAAAGAAAGGCTTAATCTACATCTTAAGGAAAAGGGAAGTACCGTGTCTTGGGAAGAAATAAGCAAAAGAATACACTGTAATCGGTTGAAATATGCATCTCAAAGATACTATGCCAGGGACAGGAGGTAGGAAGAATCCTGTCAATAGAAAATAAATGGTCTGTTAATGTTTGTGAGCATGACTTCCCAAGTCCCCTTTTGAAAAGATTTTGGAAAAATAGGAAAAGTAGTCAGACTTCTGTCCACAACAGTAAAGTGGAAGAGTACAGAATCAACATACAAAAATCTATACCATTTTGGGAAACCAGGTGGCGCGGAGCAGAGCAGGAGTGCGGCTGGAGTGGAGCTGCGTGTTAATAAAAGTATCCATTGAGAACAATGAAAGCTCAGTGGATTCAAAGCTCGTTGAGAATTCAGAAGCAAAGATTATGCATGGAAGCAAATCGATGGACTCTGGAATATCCTCGGATGAAAGTTACAAAATGGATTATCCTCAAATGGGTTTATGTATAATAATTAATAACAAGAACTTTCATAAAAGTACTGGAATGTCATGTAGGTCTGGTACAGATGTAGATGCAGCAAACATCAGGGAAACCTTCATGAACTTAAAATATGCAGTCAGGCATAGAAATGACCTTACACGTGAAGAAATGATAGAATTCTTGCAAAAAGTTTCTAAAGAAGATCACAGCAAAAGGAGCAGTTTTGTCTGTGTGCTTCTTAGCCATGGTGAAGAAGGAATCATTTTTGGAACAAATGGACCTGTTGACCTGAAAAAAAATAACTGGTTTCTTTAGAGGAGATTATTGTAGAAGCCTAATGGGAAAACCCAAGATTTTCATCATTCAGGCGTGCCGAGGTACAGAACTGGACTGCGGCATTGAGACAGACAGTGGCATTGATGAGGACATGGCATGTCAGAAAATTCCAGTTGAGGCCGACTTCCTGTACACCTATTCTACAGCACCTGGTTACTATTCCTGGCGAAATTCAAGGGACGGATCCTGGTTCGTCCAGTCACGTTGTGCTATGCTGAAACAGCATGCCCACAAGCTTGAGTTTATGCATATTCTCACCCGTGTTAAGCGAAAGGTAGCCCTAGATTTTGAGTCTTTTTCCCTCAACCCTACTTTTCATGCAAAAAAACAGATTCCATATATTGTGTATTTTCATCCCTAAAGAAATGGTTGTCTTTTTTCTTTTTTTTATTTGTATGTATGCCAAGTGAGAAAACAGTATGACTGGTACTGTATTTCCCTCTTTCATTCAAATCTGATATGGTGCTCTAGAAGGTACTTTGAATATTACTTCCATAGCAATAAAACCACTGTAAAGCTACCTCAAAGTCAGGTAGTTGAAAATGAATTTTAATTAGGAATAAGTGAAAATGAATAAATGGTGCACTCATTATGAGAGGAAATAACTAAATTAACAGCTTTCATAATTAGCACATTTTAGTGATGCTATTCTATGAATTTTCAAGACTATGAGCAACTTGAACATTGAAGTAATGAATTTTAGTGATATCCTCTCCGTTTTTTGAGGGGAGGCTGTACACTCTGGCTTTTGTCAATTATAGAAATGATGATGTGGAATAATGTACCCTAGAACTTGAGAATCTATGAGCATGGTCAAAGGCTTGAGCACTTATTTCAGAATTGATACATGAAAATGGGTCAACTGCATTTTTAGATAATTTATCTGAGTTCATGGTTTTGTGATGTTTTACCCAAGGATGTCTTTGTTGTAAAAAGTCATGTTTGATATTGAAAAGGTAACTAAATACTTTATTTGAGAGATCATGAGCAAACTGAGTTGTCTCTTCTTAAGGCCAAAATGCAACATTCACAGAGGGACAGACTTACAACTGTGAGGTGCTGAAGTACATCTGATCTGCCAGTATAAACATCTTCTCTTTTGTTCCTGTGCAAATCAGTTGTGCATTTGTATACCAGCAAAATACCTGAAAGCTATTACCTAACATCTTCAAACTGTTTATTAGCAGGATGATAAGAAAAAACTCTATAGGAACATACTAGAATACAACTTCTGTAATATAAAGTAGAATGCCAAGAAATGACGATAAGTCATCGGCTTGGTTACTCTGTAATTTGAGAGAGAATGGTTTGAGCCTGAGAGAGGAGACACAGCCTGTTTGGTGAAGGCAGAGCCGTAGACGATGGCTTCAGAGAAAGGATCGCCAGCTAGTTTCTTCATGTGCACAGGTGTGCATGGAGTTTGCCTCCAAGGCACAAATCACAGAGCAAGGAAGTGACTCCATCGGAAACTTCCGAAACAGACTTCTCCCAGAGGTGGTGAAAGTCACTGATACTTTGTAGTGAGAGTTTGAAGCATGCTATTTTCTGTTGATGTTTGCAATCAGAGGAAAACAGTGATCATGACTTACATTGTCTTTAAAAGGACCAAGGCACACAGGACTTCTGTAAGTCACCAGGCTGGAGCCCTTCTAGCACATGGGTAAACTGAGGGCCAGGGCTCAGCACCCAGCCAGGGAGACCAGACTCCACACTTCCTCCCCCCACCATGGTGCTGGGTTAGTACTGTGTCATCGTGCCTCACTGGCTTCAGTCTGACATTTCGTGTGAGCTTTCTTGTTGCCCCAAGGAAGGAACTCATGTTCAGAAATATTTTCTAAATCAATATAGCATGCAGTGATATCTTAAGGTGTGTTCCTATGTGGTAATTTTGTAATAATTGGATATTTAAGATTTTTATTTTGAAATATAAACTAAAACTTCAAAATTAAAAAAAAATCTATACCATTTCTATATACCAAAAATTAACAAACTGAGATAGAATAGAAAAAAGCAATCCCATTTACAATAGCCACAAAAATAAAAGTACCTGGAATAAACCCAACCAAAATAGTCAAAGATCTCTACAAGGAAAATTATAAAAACTTAGAAAAGACATTGAAAATGATACCCAAACACAGAAAAACATCCCATATTTCCAGATTGAGAGAATATACATATCAAAATGCCAATCCTATGAAATTAATTTATAATTTCAATGCAATTCTGATCAAACTACCAAGATAATCTTTGCAGAAATAGAAAAAATTCATAAAATGTATCTGGAATAATAAATACCCCATATCACCAAGGCAATACTATGCAAAAAGAATAAAGTTGGAGCATTTCACTTCCTGACCTCAAAATATATTATAAAGCTGTGGTAATCAAAACAGCATGGTACTAGAACAAAAATAGGCATGTAGATCATTGGAACAAAATTGAGAAGCCAGAAATGAACCTCAAAACATGCAGCCAGCTGATTTTTGACAAAGGTCACAAGACAATCCAGTGGGGAAAGGAAAATCTCTTCAGCAAATGGTGCTAGAAAAACTGAATAGCCACCTACAGAAAAATGAAACCAGACCCCTATCTCTCACCATTAACAATAATCAAATAAAAATGGATCAAAGATCTAAACATAACACCTCAAATTATAAAACTTGTTGGAAAACATAGGGGAAACTCTTAGAGACAATGGAGTAGGCAAAGACTTCTTAAAGATCTCCAAAGCACAGGCAATAATCCCAAAAATAGATAAATGGGACTATGCTAGTTTTAAAAACTTCTGCACAGCAAAAGAAACAATAATTAGAGTGAAGAGAAAACTCTCAGAGTAGACGAATATATTTTCACATTATGCCTTGGATAAGGGACTGATCATCAGAATATATAGAGAACTCAAGCAACTTGCCTGAAAAACATATAATAATAATCAGTTCAATTAAAAGATGAAAAAAATGGGGCCAGCAGGTGGCATGGTGGTTAAGGTGCTGGACACCCACATGGCCAACTGCAGTTCAAGTCCTGGACCTGGTGGCTTGCTTTCTCACTTCCCCTCACTGTCTCTGTAGTGTGCAAATTTTAAAAATATAATAAATAAAATAAATAATT